TTAATCCCTAGATTTTTAGCATTAAAAAATTTAATTTCTCGAAATATTTCTCTGATAATAGAACAATCAATAATAATATCACACAAATTATTTGATAGATTAAAACAAATTTTGTCGGTGGTAATATCTTTTTTCAATAAATTAGTTATGGAAAATTTTGTTAGAAAAATAAATATTGGATATATGTACAAGGAATTAAGTGAATTTTATATAATAACATTAATAGGTGCAGTAGTATTCGTGATAGACATTAATTATATATATTATTATAAAATTATTTCACATTATTACAACATCATTTATTATTATTATTACAATTATTTCATATTAATAATTATAAATTATTATCACAAAAGATTAGCAAAGATTTTTATCGCAATTTTTCATCTCGCCAAAATATTATTTAACAAATCTATAAATCTATCGATTAGCATCTTCAATTTCACTAAGCAATTTTTGATACTTGTCAGATTTACAGCTAACAAGCTTGTCAGTTATGCAAACTTTATTTTCATTGATAACAAGTTTGCAAAATTATTTTTAAATGGTCTCTGGCGGGCATTGATCAATTCATACAGCACTTTATCAAATTTTTATCACAATCATTTGAAATCAGTAATTTTGGATATTTATTTATTCATAAATTCCAAGATTCTTTCAAATTTATATTTAATTTTGGATAATTTTATTAATGGTGTTTTGGCGAAACAGTATCTTATTATAAGAGACATTCTAATCGAAAAACTGCCAATAATTATCAATGAATTGAAAACCATAATCGACAATTTCGTAATTTTCATTGGCCAGAAATCAATAGAATTAGTAAAGAGTGAAATCAATCAAGACGCAGCAACGGATCGAGGAGAACTATTTTCGAAAGAGTGAGTGATTGGATTACTTGAGAGACAAATTGTTATTGGTGTGGAGGGTTGAAAGGATTATTATTGGTAGGATGCGGGTCGGATATTAGTGTTAATGTTAGTATTAGTATTAGTATTAGTATTAAGTCATTAAGAGAAATTCAAATCCTCTCTCAAAACTTCAAAAAATTCTATTTTTATAGTTATCTATTTTATCAATCAAAAAAAAAAAAATGTATATATATATATATATTTAACCAAACAAACATTCAACTAAAATAAATAAAGCTTTGTTAATAAATGTATTATTTTTTATTTGTTGTCATGTTTTTTCACTATTTCTTTTTTATAGAATGAAACGTTATTGTAATATTAATTTCATTTATTAATGTGCATATCATTATGCAATATAAATGTTGGGATAATTGGGGATAAAACCCATTTTGTAAAGAATGTTACATACGCAGCATTTTCCCAATTGTTTAATTTGGAAATTATTTGAGAATCTAGCGTTAATATTCTTGGCGAGATTTTTCTTTTATGTCCAAATAAAGATTTCCCATTCCACCAAATAAGTAAGAAGCTTGTCATAGCAAGCTTTGGAAATAAATGTCTTGTATGTGAGAAAATAATTATTAAATGGCCTGATACCAGTCCGTTTTTGGTAATTGTCGCATGAGAAATTTTGGAATTAATGCATCTAATATCAATACATATTAATTATATAAAAGTCAAAAAAAAGTTTTAAACATCTTTACGATAAAAACAAAAAACCATTTTTTCTCTACCATTATATCAACGAAAAAAAATGGAAAAACTAGAATTGGTAAATAAATAAATTGATAAATGATCTTTTCAATTAAATAAATATACAAAATAATTAATTTGAAATCATCGAAAAAAAAAAATAGGTCACCGCTCGTAGGCCCACACCATATCTAAGGTATTTTTTTTTAACTAATTACCACACAAACATAATTACATCAATTACATATCAATTAATTCTTTTTACACACATATATACACACACACATATATTTAAGCCATATTCCATTAGCATGTTCAACACATTTTATTGAATGGGTTCCCGGCTGCACCAGAATTCTTTTTGCGAGAACTGGTTGGGGATCATTGAGAACAAAAAGTTATTCAGATCATCCAACTAACACTCCATTACCTTTTCCAAAAGAAGTTTTTGGAGTAGAGGATAATATAATAGTTGAAGGATTTAGCATTTTATCAAATCAAAGTAATCCAAGTGACAATGTTGATACAAAAGACTACTTGTGCACAAGTGATTTTCGACAAGCTTATCTTTCTAAAAAAACCACACCTCTACAAGTAAGGAGCTTTACATAATAAGAGGATGCATAACAAATTCAATTATTATTATTATTATTATTATTGTTATTATTATTATTATTAATATCATTGATGTTATTAGGTATGTGAAGCATTAATTAAAAGAATCGAAGAATCCAATTCACTAATAAACGCTGTGTATATTATAAATAAAGAGGATGTAATAGAACAAGCCAAGAAATCAACTGCAAGATATGAAGACGAACGACCGTTAGGACTTCTCGACGGGATTCCTGTTCTGGTAAAAGACGAGTTTGATGTTATAGGGTATGAAACCAAAGTTGGGACAACATTTATTAATGATGGAAATGTTTGTGAAAAAGATGCAACTGTTATTCATAACTTGAGGAAATTGGGTGCTATTATTGTCGGAAAGACTATAATGCACGAGATCGGATTGGGTATCACCAGTAATAATCCCTCGTCGCTTACGCCACGTAATCCTCATAATCCCGATTACTATTGTGGTGGGTCAAGTGGTGGAAGTGCTTGTGCAGTGGCTGCAGGATTAACCCCAATTGCCATTGGTTGTGATGGTGGTGGTTCTATTAGGTAAATATTTAACTGGATAACAAAATAAAAAGAGAAAACGAGGAAATTAACAAGAGGAAAAAATTGATTAATTATTGTTTTTTAGAGTTCCATCATCTTTTTGTGGTATTTATGGATTAAAACCTACATGTGGAAGAAATTCTAATTCAGGAGAATGTATGCATGCCTCTTAATTCTTTATATTTTATTTATTTATTACTTGATCTGTTTCTTTAATAGATTAATCCCAATTATTTTAATTTGGTAATAATAGTCCCGCTTTGTTGGACAGTAGCTGTATCTGGTCCGATGGCAATATGTATTGATGATTTAGCCTTGGCATATTATGCAATGGCAGGAAGAGATGAAGATGTTAGAGATTACTCTTTAATTCGTTAATTCTTTAATTAATTATGTTATATTTAACTTATTATCAATCGTAATTTCTTTGTAGGATCCATTTACATATTTACAACCAGCTCCAACATTATATAATTTAAATCAGACCAAAGATTTATCAGATCTGAAAATCGGTATATATTCTGCATGGAATAAACAAGTTTACAACAAATCAATCACAATAGCACTTGACAATTTAATTAATCAATTAAAAGAAAGAGGTGCAAATTTTGTAGAGATTGTCATTCCGGAGCTGAAAGATGTTCAAGCAGCCCACTTGATCAACATCTTTGCGGAACATTACACATCAATGAAAAATTATAAGGATGAACTTTATAAATTATCTTATCCAAGTCGATTCACGCTTGCTATACTAGAGCAAATAACTGGAAGGGTAATTACTATTATAAATATTAAAATGTCTTGAAATTATAATACAACTAATTTATTAATATTAATTATTTAATATATGAATATTCAGGATTATAGTAAGTATTGTTGTTAAATTATTTTCATTTGTTTTTCGCATTCAATTAAATAAGTTTTTTATTTCTCTCTTTTCCTTTTTCTTCCTCGTCTTACATTGTTGTTGAATAGTTCAAGCACAACAAGTAAGAACACGTAGTATGAAAAATTTGGCAACACTTTTCAATGAAGTAGACCTGATATTAACACCAGTTAGTTCCGTGACGGCACCAAAAATTCATCCACGTGCATTAAAATTCGGTGAAGTTGATTCAGTTGTCGCTACAGATGTTATACACTTTCTTCAATTGGCGAATTTCACTGGCATTCCAGCAATTACTGTCCCAGGAGGGTATGATGATAATGGACTCCCAATCGGTTTACAATTTATGGCTAAATGGTAACTAGCTAGCTGATTAGTTGACCATCGATGTTAGAATGGTTAAAAATTGATTGATAAAATTTTTGTTTGTATTAAAGGTACAAGGAAGATCTCTTGCTTAGAATTGGTAAAGCTTCAGAAGAAATATTTAAAGATTCAAGACGTAAACCAAAAGATGGATATTGGTTTGGTGATTTAATTTAAAAAAAAACAAGGAAATTAAGAGTATTTTACCGCAGTTAATTTACAGATATTAATCATATAAATCACATTATTTATTTATAAATAAAAGTTTACTGAAGATTTCACGAAGAATCCCAAAGTTGTGAAATCGTATGAATTGGTTGATTGGTTGATTACTGAATATTTATGTCCCAAGATTAGTGATGATAAGAAATTATTTTCTCATTGACATTTTTGTAAATTTGTAATATTTTAGATCGTCGATCATTACAGTATTTAAAGTTCATTCCTTTAATCTTATACTTTCACATCTGAGTTTCCTTTTATATCACCTCAGTTATATCCCACAAAAAAAAAACAAATAAAGAGTTACAACCATATTTGTTTACTTTGAGGTGTGGAGTATTTTTACCATCAAAAGATAAGCGAAACAAATTTTTTATCAGTTATCTATTATCAAAAGTGATTTTGATAAGTAAAAATTGAGGAAATATATTTTTTTATCTCTAGAATGTAATTTATTTAGTTTTTTACTCCGAAAAAAATAAAAATAAAAATCTTATAAATATGCTCCAAAAAACTAAAATGAAAAATGCATTTTTTTAAAAAAAATAAAAATGTATAAACAACAATTAACTCATGTTGGTTATAGTCCCACCTACCCTTATGTAACCAGCAACAATCCACCATCGAATGATATTATTAATACAACTCCACTACAACAATTTTTATACGTTAATAGCAATAACAATAATAACGGTAGCAATCCCTATTTAAATCCCAACCCTAACAGTGCTCCCAACTTTAATAGCACTTTGTTGAATCCTGGAAATATTAATAATAATGCCATCAGATATAACAGCAATTATTTAATTCTTTCAATTTCTAACCACATGTCAATGATTAGAGACCATATGTTGAAGATGAATCAACATTATTTTGAAATGGAGCAAATAATAGATTATTTGAAAAATCAAAATTAATAACAATTATTATTATAATTAGTATTTTGTTATGATATATTTATATATTATTTTTATTATTTATTATTATTATGTGTTTTATTTTCTAAATAAATATAATTATTAACCACATAATATTGAGAGTTTGAGACATGTCAATGTATTAACATTATAAATTTATAGATTCAAATATTCTCCGATTAAACAATGTAAGAACTTTGTACAAATGTACGATAAAAATTTCAATACAGGTTCATTGGCCACAAAATTGTGTTTTATAATTGATATTACTTCATCTTGAAAGAATAATCTATTTTGCATTCGAAAATAAGTAAATAAGCAAAATAAAAACAAGAATGCTAAGCTTCGTTAACATTTGAAAACAATTTGAACTTTCAAACGATTTGTTCTTTGTAAATATTTTGATATGTATGCTGGCACCCAAAGCTTTATTAAACTTAAATAAATGAAAATTTTTATTTTATTATTTTAATTTTCTAGGCGTTTGGAAACATCGTATTTTACACAAAAACAGCTTTCTTTTCTTTTATTATGTAAAATTTTGAGAATTCACGAAATTTTTACAAATTTAATCGAACTCATTTTTATGATAAATTTTTATATGCATGTCTATGATAACATAATTTGTGTAAACTGCGTTCCAATACTTTGGTTCGAGGAGTTAAATTCAAAGCGAGTGTTTTGTATGGCTAATCGACAATAAACTTTCCCCAATTCAAAAAACCGTATTTTGTCCTTTCCTCAACTTCAAGTTTCTTCTCGCAATCATCATTATCAAGCAGCCGAAGAATAGGTTGGTTTGTAATTGTTCTATCCTTAGACAAAAGTTTATATCCAAATCTCTCTTCAAAGTTGTACTAAATAAGTTTTTATATCATTTGAAAACTTTATTGATTTGGTATTAAATGGGCATACTGCAACAAAACCAGACAAGTGAACATTTGTATTACCAAGAATTTCAGGGATTGTTTAACACCACAATGAAAAAACTCTTACCACATCTACCTCGGTTACACGACAAGGTTTTTTTAAGATATTTTCTACCAATCATGGGGGAGTCTATAGAGGTTCCATATTCCATACATGTGCGCCTCTGTAGTAAAAAATGCTATGTATGAAACAAAAATATGGAATCGAAGATCGTACAGACTCCCCCACCAATCAAATTTTCAGAATTCACAAATTCCGTTCCGTAGAAAAAATATACGGAGCAAAAAAAATAGTGTACGGAATTGAAAGTTGTACAGAATCTCTACTGACTGTCATGGGTTCTTGGTTTGGATTCGTGTAACCGAGGTAGGTGTGGTAAGAGTATTCCACCACAATTATTTGTTTTTCGTTTTTTTTATATAGGATTACCGCTGCATAAAATAATTAATATGAAGTTATTCTATATCAGACCTACTATAGAACAGCACTATTAGAAGTTGATTTCATTTGTTGATATGTTATGTTATCTATAAAAATTCCAATTAGCAGCTTAGAAATATTTATTGACTTTTGAACAACAGAAATACTTAGGTATTAGATTTATGAAACCAAAAATCCAAACCAGCATTCATGAAAGACAACTGAATGTAAACTTTAAGCATTAGTTTAATATTTATATTATTATTTATACTATTGTATAAAACATTTTCAATAAATCTATTTTTTAAAAATTTTGTTCAGTATTAATATAATCATGCATTTCAGCAACTAATTTTAGGTTTTTCAGCTTTGACTCCAGGAATTTATTTGCTTAAGCATATTATATGGTGAAAAAAAATTTTTATGATTAGAGATTATTGGTGAAAAATTACATGTATATTGACACATACCAGTAATGTTCTTTTAATTTCCATTTCTTTTTTCACTGCATATTTAATTGGTGTATGATAAGAATTCCTAATCATACTTTTCATTTTATTATCTTTTGATTGTTTTGTGACCTCAAACTATTAATACAAATTTGTGCAGACTCTGTGACAATTGACTTTTTGTAAAAAATGAAAGAATTAGTATATTATATGACATGAGATTATCATCCAGAAATACTTTGCTGACCTTTATTGTTGATAATAATTCAACTGCTGAAGAAATTACACTCAAATCATAACAATTACGTGGTGCAAAGAACTTTCCCAAGTGTACCATCCTATATACAGCATCATGTTTGATATCCATCACAAATACGTCACATTCATGCACTAGTTATAAGAAAAGCATTGATTATATTCATAAATAAGTGTTTATACAAAGAAAAACATATGAAAGATTGTTTGCTTGCCTTCTAACAATATGCCACAAATTTTTAACCTATCATCATAAATGCCATCTTCTATGCACTTGTCTATTATATCTTTCATCTCATTGCCAAGTTTTCTTAGATCACTGAATAATGGATTTGTATTAGGCTTTACAGGTTTTACTTCCATCACTAAAAGATTATGATTAGACTCTTTGAACATATTATAAACTGAAAAATCTGGTTTATTTCCTATCAATGTTGGATCAAATTTTTTTTTACGATGTGCTGATTCCTCTAAGACTGTAGTTGACCTGGTAATAGCACACTGGTATGATCAGTAATTGTTGCCACAAAACATGCAAATAATACTAAGATACCTACCATTCACATCTATATAATTTGCCATTCGGAAAAAAATAGTTTAACATTGGTTCTATATTGTCATGCACAAATGTATCTTCTTTTCTACTCTTTGTCTTATTTTCTAAATTTTTGATACTATAGCATGATGAGGAAAGTGCAAATATGTAAGAAAAGTCAAAATGGAAATGATATGGGATGTTCAATCATGAAAATGCTTACACTGAATAAAGAACATCTAATATAATATCTTCTGAGTTGCCATATTTTTTCTTGATTTTCTTATTGATGACTCACATTCATCGATATTTGAACTTGCAACCTAGTTAAACAAATGTATAATAATCAGTTTCAAAGACTAATGTCACATATCTAGCAGATCCTTCCAAAAAATCTTACTCTTCCGACTACATGACAACACTCCAGACTATCAATTGATATCTCATATGTAGGTAACTCGGAAACAATTTGAACAAACATTTTCTTCCATTTAACAAAATCAAAAAACATTTGAATACCAGCATTATCATTTTGTTCTAGGAGAAATATATGTTTAATTGATCTGAAATTTCATATATATGAAAGAATAAGTCAATCCTATCACAAAATCCACAGTTTTAAACTAATAAAGGATTAGAAAATCTAGTACTTACAAAAGCTCTGATATATCTATATTTTCACTTGTTAAATTTTTTATTGCACATGCACGGTATTCCATTAATAATTTTGAGATATCATAATCGTCAATTACCCACTATATACAAATTCAAAAAAACTTTTAGTACAAATTGCCTTCCATCAAATTTGAATCATAAAATTTAGACATTACTCTAATAGATTTTCAGTTAATTTTGGATCCTCTTCTCCGAGACCTACTAGACAATCAAAAGTATAAACATTCTTTTTGATTTTTGTAAAAGTATCATATGATGCTTCAGATGAAGAAGAAGGAAAATATTCGTGGTCTGATGTACTCTGTGTTTCATCGGGACTATCATCATTTGAATCACTTAAATAGAATAAAACATAAAGTTTGGTTATGTAGAATAAAGAGTAATCTCAATAAATAATAAAATCTACCTTTTAATTTTCTTAGAAAATTGCTCGAAATTGTTTTCTGTGAATCTTTGTGTAAATACAAAAATACCAAAATTTTAATTAACTAGAGTAACGATGAGTGGCGGGCGATAACCACCACCACCATTCTTACGATAAACACTTACTCGTGTTGTTCTTTTTGTCCTTCGCGACTTCTTTGATTGCACTTTCTTTTGGGTGGCATTTTGCAAAAAAAAATAAGAAAACAAGAATTTTGTGATTGATCGACGCGTACGCATTAATTATTTATCCTATTGGACAGACGCGAATTGATTTTTTTTTTTTGAAAAACAATTTATTTTTTGACAGATGACAAAACGCGAGTGATGTTATTCAATATAGTTTGGCTCTGAAGACGTGTTAATAACTAACCAGAGGTAACTTTTTTTAATTTGCATTGATATGTCTTTTAAATCAAAACGTGGAGCAGATCTTGCTGGGTAATAAGATTCTCATCAAGATGGTAAACAATTGGTATTTGGCCTGTAATCATATTAATATTATTAACATTAATATTAAATATATAATTAATTACAAGAAAATGTCAAGGCAAGCATTGACTGTTGAAAAAGTCACAATCCAAATATGAAACATTTCGATACGTGACGTTTGATTATCGGAAATTTGACAAGTGTTGAAGCATGCACGCTACCCTGAACACGTTACAGTCATTCTCTTGTTCCTCGTGTACAAAGGCTAATCTGACTTGCCTCCCCCAATGATACAACAATGCAACTGAATTCCAGGGGGGGATCGCTATGCTCTGGAGTTTATCGAGACTGCATCAATTGTCAAGGATGTTTTCACTAATCTTCCCTCACAGCACCCAGACCAGAGAAGGCTGACAAGTCGACTGCAATGATCCTACCTCTAAGGATGGCTCTGTGACCAGGTCACAAACTCTGGAGGAATATTAAGAGAATCTGCAGCTCGTTTCAAGCATGGGAGGTTATGGTGACCCTGAAATTGTGTTTGGGCTCTGATGTTAGTAATAAAATGGTTTGGATTTTGTTTGGTATGTTTTGTATAAATTAATTCATAAATGTTCTGTTTTTTGGTGATTTTTTGTTTGACCAACTGAATTTGTTATCTAAATGGGGGTAGGGTTGTTGGTGAATAGGCATGCCACCGACAAGACAGCAACCCAGGACTTAAATCTCGGAATTCAGGGAAAATCCAAAACAGCAACTTCCCAGGTTGCAACCTCCTGAGCTGCAGAATTTCATACCAGTTGCAGGTGCCAACTTTTATGCTAGTGTGGCAATAACATGCAGCAATCATCACACAAACACCAGCTATCAGTGATCAATGCCCATATGGTGACAGCCAAGCCTGGTCTGAGGGGAAGATAAGTAAAAGTTTTGTCCAAAGCCTTCCAACTTGTTCAAGTCACTTTCACCTGTGGAGAAAATTCCATGGTGCTGAATTGATGCTTTGCACAGCGCTTGCATATTTGTGATAGGAAAGTTTTAAATTAAATCTGACACCTGCAATCAACATCAGATTTATTATTCTATTCATAAGGAACTATACAACGGGAAGGAAAATATTTTTTTTTGATCCTCCCTATTTATTTATTCTTGTGAACACCAGAGATCTGGGTAGACACGCATTATTAAAAATTTCATTTCTGCATGGTCTTGGTATTATTTATTACCTGTGTGATGCAATTGTTTGTTATGTCAATGATGACATCAAATGTATTGAAGAATAATCATGGCCATCATGAAGATTTGATGGATGGAGGCATTCAGATACAAAGAAATGATTAAGTAGCTAAGTCATGTTTGTTTTATTAAAGATATATATAATTATATTTAAAAAGTAATTATTTTTATTCCACTCTTCCAATGAAAGGTATTATTCTGAAATCATTTGTTTATTTAGCATTAATGATTGAATCAATCACACAGGTGGTAGTCAAT